AAATAAATGTAAATGTTCAAAGTGACATAAGTCGAGGCACACATATACTTTTATTTGTATAGGTTAAAAAACATTGAACCCTATAAACCCTCTAAACCACCAGCATCATTCATGAGACCTTCTCCTAACAGCAACAATCGTAATACCCACAGAATTCAAACCTGATATCCCCGGTCTGCAATTAAACATCCATCCATCATCTATATACCACTTAATCCTCACTAGGTTCATGGGGGGCTGGAGTCTATCCCAGCAGGTTCACCTGGACAGGTAACCAGTCTATCACAGGGCTACACTTAGAGACAGACAACCAAGCACACTCACATTCACACCTACGGACAATTTACAATCACCAATTAAACATTCTGGTATCAATTTACAGCATCTAAGCAGAAAGAACTCAGCCAGTAGCACATGAGGTTTATTTTTTTCCAGACTTCAGGCACAGAAGACAATGAACGAGTGTTTTCTGAGTGTGAAATCCACACTAATTTATTGGTGGAGCGCCCCCATGTGGTCAGCTGTCATATCCTCAATTCGGTGCTATTTGCTGTTAAATGCTGCCATCTGGTGTCTGGTTGGAGTGAATCTTGCTACTACAATAATATATGACAATAATTACAATGATAAAAATAAAAACTATGTACTCAGATTACTGTTTTCAAAGCAAAGGGACCCAGAGATTAAAACACTGACAAGAACTCAACAAGCAGCTACGACATGTGGGCAGAACACAGTGGTTGGTGTTGCTTTATAGATTATATTTACAGAAAAGGCTTTGCAATTCAACATCAATGTGAAGCCCATACGAACACCGACTGGATATCTGTTTGACATAATAGCCATGTGCTTAAAAATAAGGATCAAGTTGAATGAATTGCTCTTATTAGCATCAAGTCTTGCCTGTCTGTTGAGGCCAAAAAGAGACTGGTTGCTGCCACTTTTATGTCTGTGTTGGACGATGGAGATACGGTGTACATGAATGCTTCTGCTCAAAGCCTGAGTGTTTGAGATTCAGCTTATCACGGCGCTTTAAGGTTCATCACCAACTTTAAGTCTTTTACTCATCGTTGTTAGTTTTACTCTCGTGTCGGATGGTCAGATTTGAGCACACAAAGGAATAAACACTGGCATATTTTAATTTATAAATGTAGTTTAGGCTTGCTTTCTCGTCATTTACAGGTTTTTATTTGCACAAAAGCTCCAAGTGGTTACAGTCTGCAGTCCCAGAATCTACTCTTACTGTCTGTTCCTGAGGCTAGAACTGAAGAAAGCTTTTAAAGTCGCTGCTCCGTCTACACTGGAACTACCTGAAACTGCAAGCGCTGGTCTCTTTAAACACTTTTAAAGTGTTTATAAATGACTTGGAGGCAAAAACATCAGTCTGTAGATGTTTTGAAAGATAATTGTTTTTGCTAGTTATGTTTCTGATCTCTGCTGATATGATGATTTATCATCTTCTAAATGTAATCTGACCGTGTTCTATGAGTAATGACGTCTGTGTGGATGCTGCTGTGATCTTGTCTGTGTGTCAGTTGTGCTGCTGCTGCCTGTCTTGGCCAGGACACTCTTGAAAAAGAGATTTTTTTATCTCAATGAGCCTTCTCCTGGTTAAATAAAGGTTAAATAAATAATAATAAAAATTCAGAGTTTTGAACAACCGGTCATTTTGTGTTGGGCTGCTGTGTTGTACTTCTTCCACACCGGCAGTAGGATTGTAGGATTGTGGGTTTGTGTGTGCGACCATGACTTTGGATCTCCAGCTGGATTCCAGTCTCCTTTCTCTCTCTCTGGCCCCAGCGCACAGCATGTTTTTAGTAGGAGTAAAAGAGATTATTGGAGCGTGATAATTTGATGGGCTGGAAGTTCGCAAGTTTGAGATGCCTCATTTCTGCAAAGTGATGTTCACTTTGAAACTCTCTGAGCACTCATAACAAAATGACTGCAATAAAAAGTGCATTAAAGTTTTCTTGCTGTGGTGTGATTATCGCCTTTATTCTGTGCAAACTTGAGGTGTATGAAAGAACAGGTCTTTAGTTTTTAGTCCCAGTCACGGTGAGATGATAAGATGGTCCACTCATCAGTCCAATACTTTGGTCCAAAGTAAAGTATTTGAGCATCTACAGACCTGGTTTTCATATTATTTGGTTAATATTCATGATGGAACACAGTCGTGTCAAAACTCCAAAACTTCACTTGCTTCTCATTAAATTTGATGTAAATATTCATGGATGACTGGTTTATTACTTTTGATTATCTTTCCCATGACACCACCATCAAGTCAAACTTCGTCCAAAAGCCTGTGAGCTATAAAGATGAGCTGACATTTGTTCTTTTCAGTGGAAGTGTCATCAAACTTGGTCAACTTTGCACAAATGACAAGGAGTAACAAGCAAAATGTGATATATTCATGTTCAAGAAAGAAGTGGGCTGACCTCAATTACTCCATGCAAACTTTCTACCTAAATTCACTGAAGTCAGTCGAACTATTTTTGAGTTAAACAGCAAACTGACGGACACACACGAGACCAGAACGCCTCCCTGGATGGACTTAAGTGCTTCAGTGAATGAGCATAAGAAATCCTAACTCATGGTTCTGCTGAATAATCTTCAAGCAAACAAGTCATTTCTGAAAAATTAAAACAGTAAAAAAGAATTACTGTTTAGCAATGAAGTCATTTTTACTCAAACATTTGGTTGCAACTTGCATTGATGAGTAATTTTTCCTTCCACACATCTTCTCTGTAATTTTCTGCACAAGCATCGGTTGTGAAGTATTTCTATGAACTGAAAAAACATCTAATCCAACAATGAATCCCTTCTTCTTTTATGTTTGAATGTTAAACTGCAGAGCAACACTCTTGACGTGCCCCACTGGTCCTCATTACAGTTTAAATTGTTGTTTTCTTTTGATGAACTCATAAAATACTTTAAAATACCCATCACACTTTGCAGGAACCAGGGTCAAGTCTGCAAACAGTCCAAGATCCAAAAACACACAACTTGTGATTTATGAGCAGCAAATTGAGAAGCCGGAAGCAGTGAATGTTTAATATTTTTGTCTGCCAAATCACTTTAATCGCTTATTGGTTGTGTAAAAATAATGTTCTTGTGACTGATAATTTCCTGGTTAACTTTTTCTCCGATGAGCACAAAACCCAAAGAAACTACAGCGAAAGAGGAACGAGGCGGTCGTTAAAAACTACAACAACAGATCTACTTTTATTCAAAACTCTGATTATCTATCATTTGAAACATTGTGAATTCAGGCCGTGTTTCGGGGAAGTTAAAGTCTCGGCTACGTGGATCAACAGATAAAGGTCAGCGCCAGAGAAGGTCACCCTGAAGCAGCCATCACACCAGGAAGGATATTGTGAGGGGAGAGCTCCGGCGCTGAGCCCTCCCTCCCTTCTCTCCTTTCCGAGCTGCTCTTCTGGGGCACAGAGCAGGGGGGATAGACAGTGAAGGGAAGCCATTATTTTCATTCTTGCACTCGCTGACTCGTGGTGGCCAGCTGGAGATGGGTCACAAGAGGAGGGGCGCCGTTCAATGAGGAGGGGGGGGGGATAAAAGAGGGACACCAGAGGCTTCGCACGTCATGGCGTGGTGGTTCGTTTTACGCACGGCGAGGTGACGTAACGGCGCTGCAGAGGGGAGAGCGGGGGGCTTCTCTCTGGCTATCTATAGCAATGCTGCCATTTGTTGCATCAGGCCTAATCTGCAGCTCACGGAGGAGCTTCAGACCACGAGTGTCTGCGATTTAGAGAAGGATAGAAAATATTTTCCACTTAAATGACATTACTGCAGACAAAAGCCAGCATGTGACAGGACAGAGGGGCTGTCTTCATTGGTTTTAGCTGCTCTCTTACACAATCCACAGTGATACAACTCATAAAAACACCCTGAATGGAAACTTCACTTGCTGCTCAATCAAGATTACTGAACCAGTGACTTGGACAAGTAACTTTAATCGTCATTTCTTGAGTTTAAGTGCAATAAATCCACCAGATTCTGCAGTAAAATTGGGGTCAAGAGTCGACGCTGTGATTGAGCGACCCTCAGATTTGGTCAGGATCGAGATCTACGACGAACATGTGAAGAGTTCATTTGCACAAACAGATACCTCCATCCTCACAAACCTGCAGAAAACTTTTCCATCGTCTACCTGAGACAACATCAGTCAAATTTAAGCCATCACTGTGTTCTTCCTGTCATTTCTACTGAGTCAAATCCACTCAGTCTGATTGATATTATCTCAAGTAAACAACAACAAAAAAAAACAATTTTACAGAAAATCTACAGCAATGGAGTTTTCTGTTTTTGCAAATGAACTCTACATTTGGAGATAATATGTCCAGAAATGTGTATTTTTTCCTGGTTGTTAATAGCACCTGTATTTCTTTTAGGTATATATGCAGCATGCACAACCATAGCTAGAATAAGCAAACACGAGAATCACAGCCTGAAACAGTCGATAAAGACCTCAGATCAGTGGGTTGATCATCATCCACTCTGCATAATTCACCAGCATCTCCTCTATAAGCTTCAGAGGCAGCATGTGGACGTGTTGTATGAATGGCTATCGAGCAGTAACGCTTTTGGCTGCCGTGCTGTGGGCGTGGCGCGCGCTGCAGGAGACGAGAAACCGTCTGTCACGAGCCTGTAATGTGTCGCGCGACGAGGAGATGCTGCTGCTGCTGCAGCTCGTGAGCGTGTGACACCCTGAAGCCTGGAGGTGATGCAGATGGAGCGGTGTGATGACGTCATGGTGTGGCGGCCCTGCCTCTCTGCACGTCCACCTCTGGGTGCCGTGGCAACATGCCGGCTGGAGGGGGGGGGGGGGGGCTTCTTCTTCTTCTTCCCCCCTCCTCTATCTCACTTCCTCACTCCCCTGCTCCTCCCCTCCTTCCTCTCCTTCAGCTCAGCCAATCAGAGGGCTCGGTGGGGGCAGGGCGTAGCGGAGCCACCATTCCTGGTCCATCTCCCCACAGAGCTACCGGGGAGCTAGCGGACCAGAGGGAGGAGGCTCAGCCAGTGTGTGTATCACTGTGTGTTCTATAGTGTGTGTGACTGTGTGTGTGTGTGTGTGTGTGTGTGTGTGTGTGTGTGTGAGGCTGTGGCTGCCGCCTGTCGCAGACTAGCAGGCACGTCCGCTGCTGCGCTCTTGTTCCAGCAGACTTTTTGCTCTCCACCTTGCCTCTCCAGCTCAGGCCCGCTTCTCCTCACAGTCCGGGATACCGAGGGATCCGCGCGGGGGGACAGGAGAGAACGGACGCCGGTGTTCCTTCCCCTCCTTCTGGTACTCTTGAACCACCTCGTAGTAGCTGACAGCTCCGGGCGGACGTGCGGGCAGGATGATAGCGGCTCAGCTCCTGGCCTACTACTTCACTGAGTTGAAGGATGATCAGCTCAAAAAGGTGAGCGCGCTTCTTCAGGGCTTCTTCAGGGCCCCCTTTGGGTGTCGGATTGGAGAGTTTTGTGACAGCGATCGAGAGAGACAGGGGGGCTGCCATCAGTCAGTCAGTCAGGGAGGGGAGGATGCAGCGTTTGGGGGGATCGCAGGAGGCCATGATGGATCCTGGTGTGGGATTGATCCATTTAGAGCTCTTTTAGTGTTTGACTTGGATGTCCTTGAGGAGGGTCAGAGATGGGGACGTGGTGCAGGCAGACCCCCATCAGTGGAGCTGTAGTGGAAGCAGACAGGTGTCCGTGAGGAGCTGCTGGAAAAAAGTCTCCTCCATCTCCTCCCTTCCTCACTGCTGCTTCTTCATTTTTTCTACTTTCCTCCGTGGTTGTTCTCTGTCATCTCCACCTCTCTCCAGCGTTCTTTTAGTCCATCTGATAAAGACAACATGACCTGAACACATCCATCAGCCTGATGGCAGCCTCCGGCCATCCACACACACTGACCTTGGGTTTTAGTCCAAATTAGCTGCTGGATGAGGTGACAGACCGGCGAGATGTTCCCATGGGGTGATGGGGGGTAGGTGGGATGGAAGAGGCATGATGTCACGTGTGATGTCACGGCGCAGGAGACGCACGTGCCTCTGCTGAAGTAGGTTACTGGAACTTATCACAGTTTGTTCTGGAGCAGAGGGATGAAAGTCTTCCAAGTGTGGGACCGGAGCACGGCAACCAGATGAAGTCCCATTAAATAGCAGAAAACACGTCCCGTTAGTGAAGTGTCAAATAATTTAAAAATAAATATGAGGCTTACCATGATTCAAAGTTAAACCTCTTAGCCTGCGGCGTTCCCATCAGTAGGTTATAAATAAACCACAGCGTTGTATTTAAAGCTGCAGGAATCCCAAAACGTAAGCCAGGCTAAACTTATACAAAATGAGGGCTGCACGGTGGATCAGTGGTCAGAACCGTCGCCTCGCAGCTACAAGAGGACACCCGGGATCTTCCTGTGTGGAGTGTTCTCCCCGTGCAGCGTGGGTTCTCTCCGGGTTCTTCCTCCCACAAGGTCCAGAAACATGCTGAGGTTAATTGGTGATTCTAAATAGTCCGTAGGTGTGAATGTGAGTGTGCTTGGTTGTCTGTCTCTAAGTGTAGCCCTGTGATAGACTGGTTACCTGTCCAGGGATAGACTCCAGCCCCCCATGACCCCTGTGAGGACTGTATAGATGATGGATGGATGACTGACACAAAGATGCTGCCCTGGGTTTGCATTGTATTTACAGAAAGTATTATACAGCATCAACTTCAGGTGCTAAATCTAAGGAAATATACGATAAAATGTACTTTTAGAAGTTGACTTCTAAATTATTCAGAATCAGAAACACTTTATTGATCCTCCAGGGGAACCTGCTGTTAGTTGCAGATGCTCCCAATCAAAAGTCTTAAAGAAGCAAAGATGTATAATAAAATCAAAAGTATTCATATGAAAATAAAATAAAAATCTAACACAAAATAAATAAGACATTCTTGCTGTTATATAAAATGTAGTAGTACTATTTGTTTTATTGCACACAGAGTAGTAATTGCACAACATTAAACAGTCCAAAAGTCCACGGTGAACCTTTTCACTCAGAGTTGTTCAATCTGATGGCCACGGGCTGGAATGACCTTCTGCACACACTCCTCTTGACATGCATCCTGAAATAGGCTGATTGGAGTAAAAAGATAAAACAGACTCTCCTATTTCCCTAGATAATAAACACCTCCAGTGTTCCTGTAGTTTTATTGGAGGATGAGGACCCTGGTGGTAAAATGGTGTTTCGGAGAGGTTGTTAATGTCATACAGAGCGGTTTAATGAGAAACAACTGTGTGGACGGTCTGAGCCGCGGCCCGTGGCGAGCGCTGTGTGGTTACATAACAGCAACAAACAGCGTCCGGAGCAAACACCCCCTGAACAAACGCTTCATTAATTAGATTCCTTACCTCTGATAAAACCTCACAGTGTGGTTGTTTTTTAATATCATTTGCATGTTTAACTGTTGCTTGTCTTTGCGTGTGCTCTCACCTTTCAGATCGATAAGTACCTGTACTCCATGCGGTTCTCGGACGAGACGCTGAGGGACATCATGAACCGTTTCCGCAGGGAGATGGAGAACGGGCTCGGCAACGACACCAACCCCACCGCCACCGTGAAGATGCTGCCCACCTTCGTCAGGTCCATCCCCGACGGATCAGGTAGGCTCAGATTATTGGGCTAAATCAACTAAACGTATCCTCCTTGACCTTGTAAGCAGCACCTACAAATATCCAAACTCGTTTCCAGTTAATCAGGTTACATTTATTAATCACCTCAAGTAAATACAAGTCTGGATGGGGGCAAACATGACAAACATCATCCATAAATGATCCCATTCGTACATTGAGGACAGCGTTGTAGCTTCACCGCGGCGTCTCTGTTGTGTCATATACATCCCATCCATACTGTAAGCGTGTTAAAGCGCAGCCTGATGCATCCTGCCTCTATCTGTCCATAAAAAATGTGCTGATGTGTGAAAATGGTCAGGCCTGTTCTGTGACATAAGCCTCTTTGTGTTCTGGATTTGGACTCAGTAGATCACCATTGTTTTAGCCCGGGCCAAAGAGCTCAAACTGCCTGATCACACATTTCTCAAAACATACCAACGTTGTCAAAAAGGTTTTACACTGGAATTTATTGGGACACAACTTATTGACCCGATGGCTTGTGCCGTTTGCAAATGTTTATGATGGGAAGCCTTCCCAGCAGCACCACAGTAGCTGTATGATAAGGGGGGAAACAGCTATTTCTGATTGCTAAAGCTGTAGCATAATTAAAAATTGTAATAATAAGAGGTCAAAGTCGGACTTTAACAGTTTTATATTTCCACTAATGAGCAGGCCTTTGTTATGCCATCAAAATGTGCACACAGTTGTAAGAAATTAAAATAAAAGACAATTAAAAGCAACCGAATCAGCTATTTTCAAATGCTGGGGCGACGATATTTAAGTCATGCTTTAATCTCAGGTTACAGATTATTACAGTTAATAAAATAAGACAGCTACAACTTTTCTTTCTGGATTTTTCTTTCCCCAAAAGTGAAATTCTCTCTTCATCTGTATGCAAACATTCAAGGACCGTCGCATGGCAAACGTCCTGTGAACGCCTCTTGTTAGTTCACCGTATCTGGACACAGAAATAACAGCGAGCACCTCTCAGGCCACGCTGCCCGACTCCCGCCTTCTCTCGCAGTATAAATAGCCTCAGGTTTCAACAACGACACGGGGCTGGAGAGATCAAGCAAAGGGCAAAGTTGAAGCCACGGCGACAGTTACGACTGATAAACATTTGAAGGCCGGGTCAGCAATGACAAACACGATGGGATGTATGGCCACATAGCAACCAGAGTGAAGCACCAGCTCTCGTCTCCTCAGAGCAGACTTCCTGCGTCTCGGTGGAAAACGAGTAAATGAAATCATGGCTGAGCACTAATGATGCCAGTGTAATCTCTACTGTGGAATAGGATTAGCTGTGAAAGCTAATACATGTAGATAGATCAGCTCATCCAGCCGGAGTCTCATGAATTCTGCTTTTTGCTCTGAGATTGTGAAATATATCGACAGAGAATTAACTGATGAGTAAAACTTGTTTGTTCCACGATGACAGTCTTCAGTGAATCTCTTCCAGGTTGGTATTAAATCGTATGTGGGGGCTCTTCTGTTATTTAAAGCTCCTGTGTAGAGATACAAGTCAAGACAAAAACAGGTAAATAAACTGACTTTACACAAGTTTGACACACAAAAAAATAAATCTTATCAAGGTCCAAGCCTTACGCACAGCTTCCAACCTGAAGTTTGCTCATTTTCCTTGAAGGCTCGTCTGTCCGTGTGCGAACCTATTTTGGATTTCTGCCCACCAGCCATACGTCTTGTCCTAGCGAGCCCTCCTAGACGACAAGCAAAAAGCTCGACTTGGCTGCGCTAGGCTACGTTCAATGGCTCACTTTGTTTGACTTGGTGAAACCAAAGTCAAAGCCTGACTTTTATCAGGACTCTCAAACGATGCTCAGTGGGAAGACTTCCTTTTGGGAGCATGAACACACCTTCAGGCTCTAACGTTTGGAAAGAGATCCTTTGCAGATGAGTAAATCCCTTAAACCTGAGAATGACTGGCATGTCTAGTCATTGTTTAACTAAACCTCTGTAATAGCACATATACACCTGGATTTTCTGATGGTAGTTTATCATTGACAGGACTTAAATAGAAAACAAACAGAAGCCAGCCCTGGCGCATGTTTAGCCTGGTCTCCTCTGTTTTTTTAATGATAAGATTAGACTCGATGGGCTTCGTTTTGAAATCAGTGCAATAAAAAAAATGGAAAAATCCACCAAGAAAAACAAAGAAATGGCATCACAGCTCTGAGTGTGAACGTGGACGGAGGCTCCATAACGGACACATGCTCTGGAGCCAATCAGTCGCACTTCTTCTATATGTCAGCCCAGTCACATCTCATTCCAGTCAGGTCAAGGGGATAAATACCTCCATAGTGCAAACACCGCAGTCATGGCAGCGCCCAATGAGGAACATTGTTTTGTTGGGAGGCAGGGTGTGCTGTCGGACCTCTGAAAGGTTGCAGATCTAAACACTCACATCCACGTATCAGGTGTTCTTCTGCAAGACACTTAATCCTTCTATAGTCTTTTATTGGTCTGGATAAATGGGGGGATTACTCATTTAGAGCATGTGTGTTTAAAATAACGGGTAATATATTATATTATAAGGAACAAGTTGTGTGTTTGTTTTGTGATCACCTGAATGAAACTCATTTGATATCATGAGAAAGCTGGACTCTCTGGAGGATCGGTTTGCGTTTGGGCTTCTTGCCTGGAGCGACCCAGAACCGGAGCACCTGGCAGGCGGCTCTGCTCACAATAAAAGAGTCGTAAAAAAAAAAAAAAAAACCTGAAAGGAGGCGGATCTGTTTGGGTGTCGCCACCGTCTGTACGAGTCAGTTTAATGGCCAGAGTGTTTTGTTTTTAAAATGTTTTGGTCATTTCTACAACAGGCCTTATAGTAACTTTGCTAATTTTTTATTTTATTTTACTTTTTATTTCATTCGTTGAGTTAAAACTAAACAATTAAACGCGACACAAACTCCTGAATGAAAGGGAGCAGACGGATGTTATCTGCCTCCTTCACCCAGAGAAATATATTTACAAAAAACTTACAAAAAGCATCAACAACAACACAATAAACACCAAAATAATCACAAACAGCTCCTTCACAGCTGACAGTTTTGCTTCAGACACATCTTCTTTAATTGGACATGATTATTTATCGTCTTTACAATCAGACATAATGAACACGTCTCCTCAACATACCGGCTTTAATTGATCTTTAAAATGTAAATATTGATTTCTATTCTTTGGTTTCTTTGTCCAGATTGATCCACAAACTGATTCCTTTCACAGAAACACAAACGCTCCGTCACTTTTGTTCTGAATCTGGGTTTTTTTTAAAGATCTCGGTTCCTTTTAAATCACACTTGCTTTGTCTCCCAACTTAAGAAACAGTGGATTTGTTTCCTCTCTGTGCTGTTTTCTGCTTCTTGCTCTTTGTTGTGTTTCAAGCCTGACACACAGATCTAGACTCTATAGATCTGCAGCCCAACCACGGCGTGTCAGGAGCAAGAAAACAAGTCTGACCGAGCACAGAGAAGGTGTTCCTCACACCAGCGCTGATAAAGATCCTCCATCATTTTGATCGAGAAGTGCGGTCATAATCACAAACATACAGCAGCCGTCGGTCGGCGGCAGACGTCTGTAAAGCTCTACAGTTCTGTCACAGTGGCGTGTCCTGGATGGAAATGATAAGAGCTGTCAAACCACTGGCACTGACCAGAGTGTTAACTAAAACTAATACAGTCCTCACACCAGAACTGGCACTTCTTGGGTTCTGAAGAGAAATTCTGGTGGAAAACAAGTGAAAAACACCCATGTGAAGGAAAAATGACTTTCCTTATTTGGAGTTAGTCTTGTAGAGAAGATATTGAACCCTGATTGGCCTCCTGAGGTGGATCTTGTAGCAGATGTGCGCTCTGTAGATTCTTGACCTAAACCTCATTGTAGGAGGACAGGCAGACTCTCCCTGCACCTCTCAAGGCCAGATGATACCCGACTTATCTTTGTTTCCCTTCCTCCCATAAACCTGGATGTGGCTCCCACTGAGGGAGGATGTAAGACTGAAGGTGTGAGAGGGATCTTTAGGACTGATGCTGGCTTTGATGCTGGTAAACCTTATTTCAACCTGAGTCTCCGGTGTGTTTCTCTGTGTCCTCATCCTACATCAACCTCTTCCAGAACTTCCATAACGGTCAGGCTTTTATGCTGCTCCATATCGAGGCATTTTTCATCCTCATAAAAGCCTTTCAAAACCTTCTGGATCACAAAGCCAAAAACATCCATACAGCCCCCATGAAATGTACAATTTAGAAGTTATTTGACGACAGCAAATTCTCATTTTCAATCAGCTCGCTTATTCTTTTAGCACTCCCTGCCTCATATTCAGATCTGTTGATGTTAGTTTTTCAGTGTTGGTAATGAGATTTATTTCTTGCTGAAATGATCCGGCATAGAGAGAAACAGAGCACCTGGTTTTCTGGTTTGGTTTGAATATACGTCAGAAAAGTTCAGACGAGCCGCGACTGTACAGGCAAACTGAAGGGCTCCACTTCCTTCAT